GAGGATTCATCTTTCATAGATAGAAAATATTGATTGATTGCAGAGATTGAAGAATATATGTACTTTCTTTTTTTCTACCTTTCTTGTACTATAAATAGGGCTCTTATTCTGTACAATAGTTAAGCAATATAAAAAATATTGTTCTATTCTTCGTGGTATCAGAGCTAGGTTCGTCTAAACCTAGCCTTCAATGACAGAAGATGCAACCAACAGTAAGGGATAAATGACCTCTGAATCCCTAAGCGGCGAGACAGAAGTTGTTTCCATCATGGGTTCGATTGGAACTAAGAATTCATCCTTTCAGCTTACAGTAGAGAAACTGGATGGAAGGAATTTTCGTGAATGAGCTCAGTCCATAAAATTGGTGGTTGACGAAAAGGGAAAACTTGGGTATTTAACCGGCCAAACAAAGAAGCCAATGGATATGGCTCTTCTCCAAAAAGTGGAATTCAGAAAACTCTATGGTGACAGCATGGCTGGTAAATTCTATGAAACCTTCTATTGAAAAACCTACCTATTTCTACCAATAGTAAAGGATGTTTGGGATGCGATTCGAGATATGTATTCCGATGTCGAAAATATGTCTCAAATTCTTGAAATTAAGGCCCGATTGTGGCAGACTAAGCAAGGAGACAGAGATGTTATGGACTATTACCTGGAGATGACCGCACTCTGATAAGAACTTGATTTGAGCACCGAAGAAGACTGGGAATGTCCAAGCGACAATAATCGATACAAGAATAATAGAGAAGGTGGAGGAAAAATTGGGGATGAAAAATGTATAATTAATAATTAAAATCTTTAATTAAAACATGATTTTTGTATTATGAAATTAGATACCTGATTTATGAAAATGATATTTTAAAACCAGGCGTAGGTATAATTTCCTTTCTTTCAAAGTGGGTCTAAAAACACATATGAAATGTTGAAGAATTCTAGTGGTGTTGGGCCTGAAATAATGGGTCTTTACTCAAAAGGGACAGCAAGCGGGTCGGGCCCAAGATAGCAAAAAGGACGACCTTGGAGTTAACATTGCCGTAAGTCAAGACATAAAGAAGATATATAGGTAATTTTTTAAGAACCATGAAATCAACCACTTAATCTAAAATTCCATGGATTATTGACTCTAGAGCATATGATCACATGACGGACTCTTGTCACTTGCTTTCCTCATATTCACCCTGTGTTGGTAATCTTAAGGTAAAATAGCAGATGGGTCACTCTCGTCAGTCGTAGGAAAATGGAATATTCGAATCTTTGATTCTATAACCTTAGAATTAGTCATTCATGTTCCAAATTTATCCTATAATTTATTATCAATAAGCCAACTAACAAAGAATTTCAACTGCTCTACTAACTTCCTCTTATCTCACTGTATTTTTCAGAACCTATCATTGGGGAAGATGATTGACAATGCTAAGGAGTGTGAAGGACTACTATTTAGAAGAGGCTGATGTAAGTAAACAACGTCCAATTACATTTTGTAATTCTACTTTTGCCCCTAGAAATAGTGAAATTGTGTTATGGTATTTTAGAATGGGTTATCCAAATTTCAATACTTGAAATGTGTACTTCCTTGAACTTCTCAAATAAAGAGTTGGTTGCTCTTCAATATGAAATTTGTGTATTTGCTAAACATCAACGCACTCCAATAAAATCACGACGAACTTCCTTCAAACATATGGAATAATTCATCAAAGTTCATGTGTCGACACTCCCCAACAAAATGGGGTTGTCGAACTTAAAAATAGACATCTTCTCAAAGTAGCTCGTGCCTAGATGTTCACCACAAACATGCCAAAAAAAAAAATCTAGAGAGATGCTATCCTGACATCCACACACCTAATTAATAGAATGCCTAGCATGACTCTAAATTTCAAAAACCCTATCCAAAAATTTAAAAGGGTCTTCCCTACCTCTCGGATTAGCTCCGATCTATACCTAAGAGTATTTGGAAGTACTGCATTCGTCCATGTTCATCCTCAGCACAGAAGTAAACTTGATCCCAGAGTAATTAAATGTGTTTTGATTGGTTATTCTCCTACTCAAAAAGGCTACAAGTGCTATATCCTTCCACAAATAAAATTTTTGTAAGACTAGATGTCACGTTCTTTGAAACTACTCCTTACTTTCAAAAAGCCTCTCTTCAGGGGTAGACACTACATGAAGATCGTTTTTTGACTTTGATCTCTCTCCTCCCGAGCCTACCATGAACATGAAATCTATCACACCACCTAATTCTAGTATGCTTTTAATAGAAGAAAACTTAAACTTAGGAAAAGATGTAGGAAAGTAAAGTGATAAGGAGATACTAGTTTATTCAAGAAAGTCAAAATCAAAGTACAAGGAGAATCTCACACCTGAAACACCAAAAGAATCAAAACTTACCTATTGTTCTCAGAAAACAAACTAGTCATGTACTCTCTACCCTATTTCAAAATTCATGTCTTATAATACTCTATTTACAGGATTTCGTGCTTTTACATCTCACCTTCATAGTATAAAAAAATTCAAGAGATATTCAGGAAGCCTTAGAAATTCCAAAATAGAGGGAAACTGTATTGGAGGAAATGCAAGCACTAGACAAAAATGAAACTTGGGAGGTGATATTTTATGACGTATGAATGTTGAGAATGGTGAGAATAAACGCGTAGTTTGAACCCTTATCCCAAATGGGTAATATTTTGAAACGCGGTAAAAATGATTGTCAATTTGATTAGACAATTCACTCAGCATTAGAGGGAGGACTAAAAAAGCTAAAAATAATGTACAAATGCATCATTATCTAAATCCTCGCAAAAGATAATTCGAACTAGAAGTTCGAAAGATAATTTCATTTAGATGCATTTACTAACCAAATGAATCAACATTATCTCACACGTCCTAGAAGACACTTAATAAATATGATATTTGACTGCACACCTAAAGCGTAATAATATTCAATTCTAAAATAAAAATTCTCTAAACGAAAATGAAGCAATTAGAAAGGATAGTCTCATTAAGGAATACTCTTGATGAGTATTTAGACATAACAAACTATGAAACTCCGGAAGAGGTTCAGGTACCAAATATATTGAAAATTGAGATATTCAATAAGTTATGTCATTATGGGAAAAAAACTAGAATCGAAAATAGAAAAGAAAAAGTTGTCGACGACATTTTTTCACATGTGCACTGCATCATATTATGAATAGCAAGGACTCGAAATAAGTTCGTCGAAACATATCGATCCAAATAATGATTGGCCAAATAAAATGACGTGATCATACTAAAATTGAATTTACTAGAGAAATCTGATGTTTCTAGAAGCGACCTTAGTAAAATTGAATTTATTAGAGAAACCTGGAGTTTCTGGATTTACAGTTTAAATACCTAAAGGTGTATAGTTATGCGAAATGAAAATAGAAAAAGTAAAATCGCAATATTAAATGTAGAACTCTTTACATAATGAATTTCGCAAAGACTCATATAAATAAATAAATAAACAATTTATCTTGTATGGTTTTAATACTATTTTTGAAGAATTTTATGCCTGAAGACCAAGATTTTGTTCAATTGGGTTTTCCTGACAATATTTTTAATTAAACAACTTTTGTAGCATATTCAAAAGAATAATGCATTATTTTTCCTTTATTAGGATTTTTCTCACGGGGTTTTCCCTAATAAAGTTTTAACGAGGCATATTCTTTGTACAATGAATGTCCACAACCTACGAGACATTTACCATCAAAATAATACTCTGATATGCATGAAACCCTCGAAGAGATCGAAAAGAGCTATTTTTCGAATCATCATGTTACTATAGTCATAAAAAAATAATAAATATTTCGTATGAAGACGATATTATTTAAAGATATTGACGGACAAGATATTAATATTGAAGACTAACATACAAGACATGAATCGCTTGATATAAGAATTAAAATCATGGAGAGTATATATACTCTTTTCCTTCGATCCAATTTTATCCCATTGGGTTTTCTTGAAAATGTTTTAACATGGCAACATTTTATTACTCCAAATTATTTGTACTTTTTTTTTATTTGTTGGCATTTTTCTCCCATTGAATTTTTGCTCAACAATGTTTCAATAAAATAGTCACTGTGCAAATAATCATCAAATGGGAGTGTTGTAAAATTATAAGATAAATATTGATGATTCTATAGTTTTATCAACATGCGTAAACAAGTCTTATATAGTTTAAAAAATCTATTTCACTCCAATTGTACCTCTCATTTTGAACCCTATAAATTCATATCTTGATTCTCAATAAAATACACTTGAGTTTTAACTCTTTATTTATTCTCTATATTTCTCTTTTATTCCTTTTATTTTATAACACTATATACATTTATTTAAAAGAGATTAGTATTTTTCTTTTCTTGTCAGAGTGACTTCCCTAAAATACCCTCCATTCATAATTCAATACTGCATACCTAACATTCTCTCATGAATCATTGCCCATCACCCAAGGACAAAAAACAAAGCTCCAACTTCACGAGATCAAAGCCTAACTCAAATAGTAAAAGAGAGACATTATTAAGAAAATGACCTAGGTTCGAATTAGATTCGTCGGAGATGGTGAAATTTAAAAAAGATAAATAAAAATTAATACTCCAACTTGACTAATCTGCAACCAACTTCGACAATTTTGGCACAAAAATTAATGTAAAAATCCTTTCTTAGCCCTCCAAAGAAGCAACATTTTAGTATGACTATTAAGACTATTCCATTCTCACCATCTTTGAATTATATTCTACTTACAACCTTTCAAATATCATTTATTCTCTTTCATCATCCTTGTAAGTGTTCAAGACAGATCGAAATGTACATAATTTGTTCTTCCACCATGTGGTTAACCACTTGGTCGAATATTCCATCAGTCAATGAATATAAGAACTAAGCCGCTCTCCCGAATCATAATTTAAACTTTCCACTGGCAAAATATATACACATTGTGGGATATCATATATCCTGGCGAGTACATCTCTCCACTGACATCATGCTTTTGAGCGCTTTAAGTAGACCAATACACCGATGCTTGTAAGAACAAATGCTCCTGCAAAAATCCCAGAGCCAAGAGCGATCTGTCCAGCTCTGCCCACAGTGGCAGTTTCCAACTGTGGCTTTGTCATAACACCACTTGAATCATGGTACTCCACATGCAATCTCAGAACCTAGCATATATGAATGTAATAGTGACGTCGAAGAATGTCTAAAGGCACAGAACATTATTAGAAGTCAATTAAATTTCAGAAGTTCTAGAAAGCAAACTGAAGTTCAAATTCACAAAGCTAAGTTCCTAAGACCAACAGTTGTAAACTTGTACGACTGATGCCAATATCCTCATCACTAGAAGATAATTTGGAACACATGCAATAAAGTTTCAGAATTTTAGTTAGACACTATGAAATTGTAATTTTGATATCACAATCACAGAAATAACAATAGCAGTGGCAGGCCGTAAAATGATGTTCAAAGTGCCAATTAATGTATGGTCGATTGTTGACTTTTTGCTTTAAGAAAAAGGAGAGAGCAACCTCACTTCTAAACTACAGCTCCTCCTAGATGGATTGCTTTACGAGTATAACTAATTACCAATCAAGCGTGCCAGAACTTTTGGGATACTCTCAAGAGTCTGAGCTATTGCCTATGGCCCTGTGGGTCCGCTTTGTGGTGGATGGAGGGCTATTTCAGCAGGAGGGACCCTTTAGAGCTTGTTTGGATTTCATTATGACCACGTTATAAAATTTAAAGTCAAAATCAAGCATTAATTTTAATCACACATTTCGTGGGATTCATTACTCCTCTTCATTATAATCTCATTATAATTTTCCCAAACAAGCACTTAGATCAAAAGAAAAGATCTCGTTTCCCTTCTTAGATGAATCCCCCTACTCACGGAAGAAAGAGACCATTAGAGCGTATATAACCAGTCTCTAGATAGTTCTTCTTTCGGTTAAGCTGTTGACACATCTGGATTATGTAACTAATTTTTTGTTGTAAGATTCCACTTGCACTGCTATTTATAGACAGCTGCATAGGTGAGTATTTCAATGAAAATTTCATTTTTCTTCCATCTCTTCTTCTCTGTATGTAATATGGTATTAGAGCAAGCGTGCTACGTTCATCTTCTTCATCGATATTGACACAATTCTGCAAGATTAGTTTGATCTCTATTCTGAGCTTCAAATGGAGTCCACTCAGTCAGAAAACTTTCCTGATCCAAAGTCATCTGCAAGCAAGTCTGATGTTGATCCTTCTAGCCCATATTTCTTGCATCAGTCTAATAGTCCAGGATTGATACTTGTTTCTCAGTAACTTACAAGAGATAACTATGACTCTTGGAGAGTTGGAGTCGTGAGATGATGATAGCTTTGTCTGTGAATAATAAACTTGGATTCATTGATGGTTTCATAACCACAAATCTGAAGGTGATGATTCCGATTTACTTAATTCCTGAACTAGAAACAATAACATTGTCATCTCTTGGATTTTAAATTCCGTATCCGAAGAGATATCTGCTAGTGTAATCTTCGCAACTTCTGCTTATGAAATCTGGATTGATCTCAAGGATCAATTTCAACAGAAAAATGGACCACGTATCATTCAATTAAGGAAAAAATTGATGAATCTTGTTCAAGATCAGAACAATGCCAGAGTTTATTTTACCAAAATCAAGACCATTTGGGAAGAATTGAGTAATTACAGACCTAGTTGTTCATGTGGGAAGTACACTTGTGGGGGTGTGAAGGAGTTAACTAAACACTACCAAATGGAATATATAATGTCGTTTCTTATAGGACTAAATGAGTCATTTTCCCAAGTCAGAGGACAACTCCTTATGGATCCATTACCACCAATTAATAAGGTATTTGCCTTGATTGCTCAAGAAGAACATCAAAGGAAGATAGGTACACAAGCTGCCCCTAGTCCTAGTCCTGTCCAAAATGGAGCCATGGCTTTTGCTTTTAAAAAAAAAAAAAAATTGATAACAACAAAGGGTTTGGTGGTTCTAGAACATATAATATCAACTCGAAGTTTGGAAATGATGAAAACAATAAGGACGGGCCATTTTGTTCTCACTGCAATTATCGTGGTCATTCAATTGATATCCACAGGGTTACAAATCCAAACAGAGAGAATCCTCACAATTCTACTGGCTTCAATTTAGTGAATCAAGTATCTGATTCATTTTTCCACAGAGTGAAAGGAAGCAGCAGGTTCAACAGCCAAGTTTTGGGAATTTCATTCAAAATCTGAGTTCCAATCAGTATCAACAATTGATGTCTATGTTGTCCACTCACTTAACATCAAGTTTCAATCCCACTGATCAACATAACAACACTGGCACTTCATAGGTACATGTTTTTCAGTGTTAGCACACCTAATTTTTTCTTCCAATAATATTTTGATAGTTGATTCTGGTGCTATACAGGACACATATGTTCCCATGCTAGTGCTTTTACATCAATGAAAATCATTGAGAATTCTACGGCCACTTTACCAAATCACACACAAATTCCAGTTAGACTGTGTGGTGATGTTAGATTGAGCTCAACTCTTGTGCTTCAAAATGTTCCGTTCGTATCACAATTCAAGTTCAACTTACTATCTATTAGTGCTCTAACATATGTTTTGAAGCTCACTGTTAGCTTCTTTCCTAATGACTTTATTATTTAGGAAGCCAACACCAAGAAGATGACTGACAAGGGTGATCGGTTGAAGGATCTCTATGTTCTTGACACTAAAGTTCTAAATTCAGTTTCCAATGCTTATGGAAACAATGTTCCAGTTCATATTTGGCACAATAGACTTGGCCACCTTTCGTTTAAAACGTTGGATAGTTAGAAATCTCAATTGTTGTGTGATCTTACAAAATTCAATAAATCGGTTCCTTGTTATATTTGTCCGCTTGCCAAACAGAGAGGGCTGTCTTTTGAATCTAATAATCATCTTTCAAGTAATCCTTTTGATGTTGTGCATTGTGACATTTGGGAACCCTAACATGTGACCTCTTACACAGGACATAGGTTCTTTTTCACCTTAGTGGATATGACTGTTCCAAATTCACCTAGGTTTACCCATTAAAACATAAATTTGATGCATCCACATTTATTCCAAGATTCTTCAATATGGTGGAAACTCAGTTTAACACTCCAATAAAAGTGTTTAGATCTGACAATGCTCCAGAACTTGCCTTCACTAATTTCCTTGCTGAAAAGGGAATTTTACATCAATTTAGTTGTATGGAGAGGCCACAACAAAATTCAGTCGTGGAACAAAAACATCAGCACGTTTTAAATGCAGCAAGGGCTTTATATTTTCAATCTCGAGTTCCTGTCAAATTGTAGACAGGTTGCATGTTGACAGCTACTTTCTTAATTAACAGAACTCCCTCTCCTCTGTTGAAACATCAAACCCGTATGAAATTCTATACAATAACTCTGCAGATTACTCTTCCTCAGGGTCTTTGGTTGTTTGGCCGTTGCATCCACTTTGACTGCTAATAGGACCCAGTTTCAACATCGAGCTAGGGTGTGTGTTTTTGGGATATCAACCTGGAGTCCAGGGATATAAACTATATGATGTTGCTTCAAAGCAAGTTTTCATATCCCCGAGATTTTTTCATGAAGAGGTCTATCCTTTTCACACCATTGTAGAAGCGGACCAGCTTGTTGATCCTTTCCCTGATTTAGTATATACCTTCATTGAGTCCTCATCAGGACACTTGTAATGACGCCTCTGACCATGAAACTGATCCTAATGGAATTCATCAGACAGAGAGTCTTTCTCCTGTGAAACATTCACTCAATTTAGTTCCAACTTCTCACACACCTGATCATGAGTCAAATAGTTTGCCACCAGCTATTGTTCTCCAAAGATCACAAAGGGATATTAAACCTCCTGCCTATCTCAAAGATTTTCATTGTAACTCTCCGAAGGACTGGATTATTTTCACACTTTCTCCTTAGTGGCAAAAATAGTCACTGTCAAAGTCTTATTGGCTCTTGCAGCCTGTCAACATTGGCACCTAGTTCAACTAGACGTTAATAACGCTTTCTTAAATGACGATTTATTTGAAGAAGTATACATGGACCTTCCACTTGGATATGATATTCACAACAATTTTGTAACATCAGGGGGCAAGTTAGTGTGCAAATTGCACAAGTCCATTTATGGACTCAAACAAGCCTCACGACATTGGAACTCAAATTTTTCTCATGCTCTGCTTCAATTTGTTAGTCTAAGTCTGCTTGCTCTCTGTTTACCAAAGGATTTGGAGTTAATTTTGTTGCCCTATTAGCATATGTTGATGATATCATAATAACTGGTCCAAATGTTCATGCTATTGATTCTTTGAAGAAGTTTTTACATGCTCAATTCAAGTTGAAAGATCTTGGACATTTGAAATATTTTCTGGGAATTGAGATTGCTAGATCAAACTCAGGCATAGTACTCTCTCAAAGACATTACACTTTACAACTCCTTGAGAATGCTTGTTACTTGGACTGTAAGCCTGTTGCTGCCCCTATGGATCCTAAAACATTTCTCAGCCTCCATGAAGGAGAGTTATTACCTGATGCTTCTCATTACAGACAATTCATTGGTAGTTTAATTTACCCAACTCTCTCTCGCCCAGATATTACCTACATTGTACACAAATTAAGCCAGTTTCTTTCCCAGCCAAGGTTGCCACATCTGAAGGCAGTACATCTTCTTCTTCGTTATTTAAAGAACAATCCTGGCCAAGGTTTATTCTTCTCAGCAACACACATGAATCATGTTAAAACTCCAAGCTTTTTCAGATGCTGATTGGGGATCTTGTGTTGACACAAGAAAGTCCACGGCAAGTTTTTATATCTTCATTGGTGATTCTTTGGTTTCTTGGAAAGCTAAACGACAAGCCACCATTTCTCAATCATCTGCTAAAGCTGAGTATCGTGCACTTGCTGCCAATACTAGTGAAATCCCATGGATCCAATAGTTGTTGAAAGATTTCCAAATACAAGTTTCATCACCTGCTCCTCTTTTGTGATAATCATGCTGCAATTCAAATTGCGTCCAATCCCATCTTCCATGAACGGGCTAAACATATAGAAATTGACTATCATTTCATCCGTGACAAGGTTGAAGCTGGGATCATAAAACTTCTGTTAGAGATAAAGAACAAGAA